AGAGGCATAAAAGTGATGACTGAAGCTTGCACTGAAGTGACGGGATACGAATCGAGAGATGGATATATTAGGCAAAGATTATTGTCTAGGAAAATGATGCCAAGGTTCCGCACAAAAAAGAATTTCAATATGAACTTGTAATGATTTTCTATACGGTGTACATGTAAAATAACATGTGAATTAAATCGATGTCACCCATGTAAAATTTATCATTATCCTGGAAAACATTAAATGACACCTAATTTTTGGTATGCACTAAAAGTTGACAAAAAGTCGTTCGCGATGCGGCAGGGTAAGTATGCATGAAATGGCATGAAATTTTGCACAGGTGTTTTTTACAGCCATACAAACGATGCCTGAAAAGTGCAGCCTGCAACTCAAATAAAAGTGTTTTTTCCCTGCCCCCTAATATGTATATGTACACATATACATACCGGTATATGTACATATAACTTGAATGCACAAATCCTTTTCATTTATGTATTTCTTCATGGCTCCTTATCATTGTTTGACTTAAATCTAAATGTAACACCAACGTCTTATATAATTACCGTGAAATATACTAAGACTTATATACGTTCACTTAAGATAAAGACAAAGTAAAAGTTAATGAATCTTATCAGAATTATGTATCTGTTAAGCGAACCTTTGTGAGTATTTTCTGAAGTTAATTTTGCGATATGGTTGATATTTGATATACAGTACTCCCTCTTTATCGACGGTTTCGATTATCGACGGATTATTTAGACACTGTGGCAGGGGAAGCATACCCTGCAGAGTTTGCTAACCACATAGAACAAAAGGGTTATAGGCCGGAACAAGTTTTTAATGCTGATGAGTCAGGCCTATGGTGGAAGAAGATGCCACGCCGAACCTACATCTCTAAAGAGGAAAAAAGTGCCCCTGGATTTAAAGTTGCGAAGGACCGAGTGACAGTGATGCTATGTGGGAATGCGGCAGGGCATATGATTAAGCCCATGTTGTTATACACTGCCGCACGACCTCGGGCTCTCAAAAATAAAAACATGGACTTGCTACCAGTTTTCTACAGGAACAACAAGAAAGCGTGGATGACATCTGATTTGTGCGTGGATTGGCTGAAAAACTGCTTTGCTAGAGAGGTGAAAGATTATCTGGATGAACTTGGCATGGAGTTCAAAGTGGTATTATATCTAGATAATTGCCCTGGCCACTCTGAAGAACTCAAGACTGCCCACCCCAACATTGAGGTGGTTTTCCTGCCAAAAAACACCACCTCCATCATCCAGCCAATGGACCAGGGAGTCATTGTCGTGTTTAAGGCTAAATATGCAGAGAAGACTTTCAGCATGATTCGTGAGTGCCTTGATAAGGATGCTGATGTGACACCCAGAGAAATGTGGAAGAAATTTGATATTGCACAGTGCCTAAACTTCATCGCTGAAAGCCACAATGAACTGTCGCAGAACTGTGTCCGATCATGTTGGAAAAAATTGTGGCCTGAAATTGTCCCAACATTCACAGGGTTCCCAACAGCCGAGCCTCAGTTACGCAACATAATAACTATGGCAAATGAAGTTGGAGGTGAAGGGTTCTCTGACTTAACAGCGGCAGAGGTGCAAGAAGAGTTATTGGGAAATGTTGGGGATCCATTTACAAGTGATGAACTAGAACAATTAGTGGAGCTGCAGGATGAAACAGAAGATGAAGTGAGTGATGATGAAAATAAGAACTTAACTTTAGATAATCTTGGTGAAGTAATAAGAATGAGTAAGGCCCTCTCTGCTCGTCTCTATGACATTGATCCCTCCCTTGATAGGTCCCTTAAAGCAAAGAGAGCTATTGAAAATGTTATGTTGCCATATATAGAACTGCAGAGGGAAATGAGAAGCAAGAAAGCACAGACCACCATCACCAACTTCTTCAGTCGCCGAGTGCCTGTCATCGCCGAACCTGCCGGCATCCTGCAACAGGAGGCAGAAGCTGCCGACACCTCACAACAACAAGACGTAGAAGCTGCCGGCACCTCACAACAAGAAGATGCAGTACCTGCCCACACCCCTCAAGAAGATGCAGACCTTGACTCATCATACTCATCTGACTGGTCAGGCTTTTAATAAGCCTCAATCATCACACTTGTATATACTGTACACTGTATTGTTTACTGTAAGGACCGATGTTCACTTCAATAAATGAAATCGTAAGTTTGCTAGTATTTTTGTCCACTTATTATATTATTATTTATACAATATTATTTAAGGTTATGTGTAAAGGAAACGCATTAATGCTTAAAGGTACATTTATTCAACATATGCTAATAATAGTTAGAAAAATTACGTAACCATCACGGTATCGACGGTTTCTTTATCGACGGCCGTCTACAGAACGTAACCCCCGTCGATAAAGAGGGAGTACTGTACAGTAGACTCTCGCCAATAACGACTTCCACAATAACGTTTTCGACAATAACGGTAAGTTATAATAGATACTCATTTTCGATAATAACGTCTGGATTCTCTTGAATAACGGAGAATTTGCGGGAAGCATCCGAGCGCATCAAAGATAGCATTCGTTTGCCGCCATGTTGATGACGTAGTACTAGTTGTCCGCTCCGCCTCACTCTCACACACGCTCCGTGGAATACAGCGCTGCGCCCACGTGTGAGATTTTCGCCTCTATAACCACTGGTTGCTCGGGTCGGTAATCAATAATGGTTCCGCATTTTTGCCTGTGGGGGTTTAGGGTAGGTGGTGGAGGATGTGATTTGCTGCCTGAATGCCCGGGAACTTTTAAAGCGAATGAGAAAAAAGATCCCAAATCTAAGAGACAAAGCCACAAGAAATGTGCCTACTCGGTCAAGGATAAAGAAGAGATTGTTGAGCTCATTGAAAGTGGTGCACAGAACATTGATATTGTGAGGAAATTGAACTGTCCTGAGTCTACAGTGCAAAATATTAAGAGGAACTTAGAGGAGACCAAGAAGAGTATTGTGCTGGCTAAGAAATATTTCGATTGTGATGGAAATGCGAGGTGAGTTGTGAATGATAAGTGATTGAAACAGGTTGTTTGTGATAACAGAGCATTTTCTTTTGAAATGGTTAGCCTGTAGAATGAAAGACAGTGCAAGTCTTAGTGACCCTCAGATATGGAACAATCATCACACCAAGCACCTCAAAAACTCCCCCAAGCTAAGTGTTATATTACTCAAACTCTTTATTTTGATGATTGAATAACAATTCTTTTTATTTCAGCAATCAAAAAATGTTAGGCAGGGCTTCTATGGGGAAAAATTGGGTGAAATTCTTGGGGTGGCTGCACCAATAAACCCTTTTTACATGTATTTTAATGTCACACAAATAACGTTTTTGCTAATAATGGCATTTTTCAGGCACCTATTAAACGTTATTGACGAGAGCCTACTGCTATGGTGTCACTGGTATAGGAAGATCAGCTGTTAGTTATAATCACTTGCGTGCGTGTCCGAGCGAAAGCTAACTACCCGTCAGCCCAGACCAAACATTACGACACTGTCCGGGTGTTCTGAAACCTTAGCTCACTGGGTGCGGTGCATCCCTGTTCGGAAGGAACGCTCACAGTCCCGTACGCGCAGACCAAAGCTTTACGACACTGTCCAGGTATTTAAGACACTTCACTCAAACACACAGCACTCGCTATCACTGTCTCCCTGCTGACGACGCACGTGATCCACTCCGGCGTTGGTCCTTCGACAGTCCTCCCGTATACGTTTTGACTGTTAACGCTCATAGGAGCGTTATTGGTTTGTTGCTGGAGAAATAAACCCTCAACGTTGGCGCGTACCATATAATTCGGTCAAAACCTGTTAAAGAACAATTCACATATAACAAATGCTGTTATCTCAGGACACATAGTATGGATAATACAATCAATATACAGTACATAGCCTGTTAACATCTTAAGTATAACTCACATGTTACATCTGTTGATACATCAGGAGACAAGTTGTATAATATGATCAAATTACAGTACATAAATATACTTGTTAGAGTTATTTAGAGTTTACATTTACGTTTTAGGGTCTTGGGGTCTTGGGTTCGACCAGCGTGTTGTTTCTCCTGCAAGAATTGATAGACTACTGTGAGCAACCGCCACCCAATCGCAGCCCTAGGCGAGGGCCATCTGTTTTATATTAGACACGACCAACAAACATGTTGTCAGCACTGCCCTCTCTCTCTCTTTCATGTTTATCTTACTGTGGCGGTAACATTGGGGTTACAGCATTTTTAAAGAAATGCATTACAGTAATTGCATATGTAGGCAAACAACTCTCGCCACATGACACAAGTCTCAACACATTGGTTATAATGTTATTACTGCACATCGACAAAAGGTCTTTAAGCATGTAACAAGCTTAATAATTACAATATTCTAACAACATTAAAAAATTATTAGAGATAGAATTCTCTGGGTGTACAGTGGTCACTCTTGTATAAGATTGACATCTTCTTCCATGCCACACAGTGTAATCTAGAAGATTCGTGTTGATATCTGCTCAATTGGATTTTTAAATGGTTTTAATTTTTGTTTAAGGATACGTACAAAACAAAACACTGTGATAATTGAATACTTTACTGTATACAGGTATCGGTCATAAAAATTGAAGTGCAATACTGTATGCAATAAACAAGATTTCCTGAAGTTGTCATTTTAGTTTACAGTTACTGTAGTTTAAATGTCTTTATTGTATATGCAGTACAGTACTATATTATGTACAGTACCAAGTTTTTTTTTTCTGTTTTACAGTATGTAGTTGAGTATTGGAGGATGGCAAGATTTTGAAATATTGTACAGTATATTCCCATTCTTCTAATTCTGGAAACATCCAGAAGATTTTCCTTTACCATTTATTTTTCTTAAAAAATAATTCCATAATTTTTGTATTCCTTTAATGTAAATTTCCATATCTTAGGGATTCCTATACTGAAGAATGACCAATACAAAGTTATTAGCTATTGTATTCATATTACAGTATTATTTTTCAGTTGCAGAACCAGTTAGCTAAACCAAACAGGAAAGCACTACACCTAGGTTTGTTAATACCGGTACTGTACTGTAATTGTTGATATAACAAAATATGAACATTAAAGGTAACATATGAATACAGTACTGTCATTGAAACTAGCTATCAAAGCACAATACTGTACAGTACATTAGTCTGATCTTGACCAGTAAAAGCAAAAATCTTTTATTTTTTTAATAAATAAAATCCACATATTTCTCTGAAATATGAATGAATGCACAACTTGCTTTATTCCCAAAAGTTGGCCTTCTACTTTTCAGGTAGATCTTCTACTCAGGTACCTAATGAAAACTTATGACATACATACAGTACCTGTTCCAATTGTTCTCAACAGATGGCACGTAAACGTGAGGAAAGGGCCATCAGAAATGCACAGCGTGCTGCACGGAAGGCTCGAGCTAGCAACGGAGGACAAGACCCAAGTTTTGTATCATTAAAGCAACAGTTAGTGGCCATGGGTCTCACTCTCAGAGAAATTCCTGGTGATGGGTAAGTTTTATAACTACTGTACCTAAACATTACTTACCAACCTTTTTGAACCTCAGTGAATTAGGGAAGGATGTTTCTTGCTCTAACTTGTACTTAGTTCATTTTATTCACCAGTTAGCCAGGCTGGTGGATCAGCAAAGTGAGCCAGTCAGAAAATTTTCAACTAGCCAGAAAATCTTCTTCAAAACTATGGCACATGTGTTTTCATAGAATTAATGGGTGTGCACACGGCTGCAGAACCATGTATAACAAAAACACATTACAAAACAAAGAAAAAGCCTGGTTTTTTTTTCTAAAAAACAGTTTTTGTGATATAGTCCAGAATGCAATGTCTAGCTTTATACCTAGGTATGTAAATGCCTAGCATTACCTCGCCAGACCAACATACAGGCAATTAAAACATCTAATAATTACTTAAATACGTAATATTAGGAGGACACGTCGCTACCCGGCATTTAATTGCAATTCTCAAAACCCCCTCCATCACACGCATTGCTACCGTCATCTCTTGCCCTACAGCGAGCAGTAAACAAATGTTAACTCTCGAGGGGTGGAGATGGGTGGGATGTCGACGTCGCATGCTGGAATATATCACAAAAACTTTTTTAGAAAAAAAAACAACTTTTTGCTCAATCTAGAATGCGACGTCTAGCTTTGATTACCCGAGCAAGAGGTGGAGAGGGAGGTGACATTGAGTATAAGGCTCCGCTAGCTTAGGTCCAGATTATAATTATAGACTTAGAAATATTTTCCAATATTAGGAACATTTACCGGAAGGTAAAATGTTAATTTACATATCCCAATTAGGATACTCACTTTATTCTGATGAGGAAGAAGAAGGTCCTGGTTGTGGAGATTAACTAGGCGGGGGAGGGGACCCCAGTACCACCACATGTGAAGCATCTTCCAGAGATAGATGAAGATAACTGTTTGGAAAGGTTTTGAAGATTTCCAAAAGCCCAATTCTTTGATCTGACTGAGGCTCATATGCCGCAGAAAGACCACAAACCCTGCATATTTCCTGGTGTCATGTGCTAAATTTTTTTTACCAGGGTCTGATTGTCTCGCTAACTGAGATAAATATTTTGTCATTTAACTAGGAGAAAATTTCTTACCATCCTGTTATGAGATTCTTAATTGGGCACAATATATGAGGAACTCTTGTCTCATCCATTAGCCATTTTATCCTGATAGGTTGAACTTGAAAATCCTCCCTTTCATTTTTCTTAGAATCTTCATAGGAAAAAGGGTGACATCTTCCTCAGAAAATACCAATAATGATGGATTATTGGAAATTTAAATCAGCTCACTGATTCTCATACCTGTTGCTAATACAGGAAGGAAGGCTGCTTTCTGGAGCAATCTGTCGCGGTTCAAATTTATATTGTAATTATGCCCATAAGAAATTTAGTAACTTTATCTAGAGACCAAAATGGGATTCTCTTAGGCTGAGGGTTTCTCTGAATGAAAAAGGACGATCTGAGCATTTGATAAATTCTTGGGTTCAAAGTAATATTAAAACACCATGCCAGAGGGTCAACCAATGCTGATTTATAAGATGCAATTGTAGATCCTTGAAGGCCTTTAACCCTCAACAGAAAATCTAAAAATTTTAACACCACGGTTTCCGACAATGTGATTGGATTCGTTAACCTGATAAATTGTTGAAAAAGTTTCCAAGCTTTCTCATATTGCATAGAAGTTTGGGGTCTATGACCTGCTATCACTTGGTTAGCTACATTGGAATTACCCGACAATCTATTTAAACATCTTTTGAGAAACTCCAAGCATGAAGTGCCAAGGATATCTTGAACTGAGGGTGCAGTACCTGGTCTAGACATCCTTGTTGCAATTGAAGTGGATGCGGGCACCAGTCCAACAGATCCAGAGACCACGGTTGTAGGATCCAATATGGTGCAATTAAGAGGACCTTTCCCTGGAAGGATCTGAGTTTTTTAATATTTTCACTGGTGGGAACAGGTAGATTGAATTCCAATGATTCCAATTTATGAGTAGAGCATTTCCTAAAAGATTCGATCGTTACAGAGATGCATAAGTTGGCATTTTGTGAGGAAAAGAGATCTATTTGTGGAGCCTCAAACCTCCTCACTAGACTCTTGAACTTTGATATCTGTTTCCGTCGATACTGGCCTGAGACGGGACAACGCATCTGCCCAATTGTTTTGTACTCCCGGTATGTGAGTGGCTTTGAGGCGAAGTGTTTGTGTTACACAAACTCTGATTTATTTATTTATTTATATGTATTTTATTTTATTTATTTTTGACAGTGTGAGAAGGGGCCAAGATCTGGTTGAGCCTTGATGATTGAGACAAAATACTGCCGCTCTGTTGTCCATGGCAAACAGAAACGTCATGTTTTTTAAATTTGGGTTTGCCAACAAAAAATGCCATTTTTTTTCTAAAAACCAGTTTTCGTGATATAGCTCGGAATGCGACGTCAGCAATGTTACCTAGGTATGTTAATTCCTAGCCAATTCGCCAGGCCAACATACAGGCAATTAAAACATCTAATAATTACTTAATAAGTAATATTAGGACACGCCGCTACCTGGCATTTAATTGCAATTCTCAAAACCCCCTCCTTCAACCCCCACTATACGCATCACGACCCTCATCTCTTGCCTCAGAGCGAGCAGTAAATAAAAGTCAACTCTCGAGGGGTGGAGATGGGTGGGTTATGGACGTCGCATTCCGAGCTCTATCACAAAAACTGGTTTTTAGAAAAAAACGGCTTTTTGTTCAAGCTCTGAATGCGACGTCACCAAGAATACCCGAGCAGGAGGTGGAGAGGGAGGTGACTTTGCATACAAGGCTCCGCTGACTGAGGTCCAGATTATATTATAAACCGTTTGGAATATTTTCAAAATTAGGAATATTTACCGGAAGGTAAAATGTTAATTTACTCAAAATGGATACTCACTTTATTCTGATGAGGAAGAAGGTCCTGGCATTGGAGATTGACTTAAGTGGGGGAGGGGAACCCAGCACCACCACATTTGAAGCATCTCTCAGAGATAGATGAAGATAGCTGTCTTTGAAAGTTTTTGAAGATCTCCAAAAGCCCATTTCCTTGATCTGACTGAGACTCATATGCCGCAGAAAGGCCACAGACCCTGCTTATTTCCTAGTGTCATGTGCCAAAAATTTCTTGCCAGGGTCTGCTTGATTCAATAATTGAGATAAGGATTTTGTCAATGGACTAGGAGATAATTTCTTACCATCCCTTGATGAGAAAACATAAGGGTCTTGATTAGGGAATCTGGTTAACCATTCCTGAAGATTTTTAACTGGACACAATATGCGAAGAACCCTCGTTTCATCCATTGGACGTTTTATCCTAATAGGTTGAGCTTGGAAATCTTCCCTTTCATTTTTTATTAGGATCTCTGTAGGAAAAAGGATAACATCCTCGTCAGAAAATACCAATCATGTTGGATTATTGGAAATTGAAATCAGTTCACTGATTCTCATACCCGTTGCTATTGCTAGAAGGAAAGCTGCCTTCTGGAGTAATTGTTCCCTGTTCAGATTTATATTGTAATTAGGCCCCATAAGAAGATTAGTAACTTTTCCAGAGACCAAGGCGGGATTCTCTTGGGTCGAGGAGGTCTCTGAATGAAAAATGATGATCTTACCATTTGACGAATCCTCGGGTTCAAAGTAATATTAAAACCCCAAGCCAGAGGGGCAACCAACGCTGATTTATAAGATGCAATTGTCGATCCCTGAAGGCCTTTAACTCTGAACAGAAATTCTAAAAATTCTAACACAACTGTTTCCGATAATGAATCTGGAGTTGTTAACTTGATAAATTGTTGAAAAAGATTCCAAGCTTTCTCATATTGAATAGAAGTTTGGGGTCTATGACCTGCTAATACTTGTTTAGCTGTATTGGAATTACCCAACAACCTATTTAAACTTTTTTGAGAAACTCCAAGCATGAAGTGCCAAGGATATCTCGAACTGAGAATGTAGTACCTGGTCTAAACATCCTTGTTGCAATTGTAGAGGATTTGGGCACCAGTCCAGTAGATCCAGGCACCAAGGTTGTAGGATCCAATATGGTGCAATTAAGAGGACTTTGCCTCAGAAGGATCTGAGTTTGTGAACCACTTTGGGCAATATTTTCACAGGTGGGAATAGATAGATTGAATTCCAAAGGTTCCAATCTAAGAGGAGGGCATTTCCTAAAAGATTTGACTTTTCCAGAGATGCATAAATTGGCATCTTTTGATTTGTTAGGGAGGCAAACAGATCAATCTGTGGAGTTCCAAACTTCCTCACTTGACTCTTGAACTCTGATACCTTTAGGGACCATTCTGTTTCTGTCAATACTGGCCAGAGACGGGACAGCGCATCTGCCCAATTGTTTTGCACTCCCGGTATATAAGTTGCTTTGAGGTAAAGATTTTGTGTTGCACAATTACTGAAAATTTTTTCTGACAGTTGTAGAAGGGGTCAAGACCTTGTTGACCCTTGATGATTGAGACAAAACACTGCCGTTTTGTTGTCCGTGGCAAACAGGATCGTCATATTTTGTAAATTTGGGTTTGCCGACAAAAAGAATAGGACCACTGCTAATTCTTTTATATTTATGTGTTTGTCCCAAAGGAAGTTGCTCCACTTCATTTGACTGAATTCCCCTTTTGAAGAATGGTATCCCCATCCTATTTCGGACGCATCCGTACAAACGACCAAACCTGTTTGAGGTGGAACCCAGGGAGAAGGACTGATTAGATTGTCCCAGTTTGTCCACCATAACAGATGATTCTTTATCTGAATAGGAAGAGAAGAAGCAACATTTCTGTTTCTGTGAAGCTACTTTGAATCCAGATGAGATAGTTGCTTTTTCCTTAACTTTTCCAATGGAACTACTATTGTGGCAAAATTCAACAGACCCAGAAGTTTTTCCCAATCGTGCTAAGAAACTTTGTGCTTTACACAAAAGGCTTCTACTTTGTTTATCAAATCAGTCACTT